CTTCTTATCCGGAAAATGTGAGTAATATTACCTACATCATAGAATTACTTTGAAGCTGGAATGAGGGAATACACGTAACGCAGAGTGCCTGATGGGGCTTCCCCAGTGGCTTAGCAGGTAAACAGTGTGCCTGCTATCCAGGCAGTGAGGTTCCATTCCTGGGTTGGAAAGATCCCCTTGAGGAGGAAACAGCAATCCACTCCAGAATTCTTGCCTGAAAAACCCTACAGACAGAGAAGCCTGGCGGGTTACAGTCCAAAGGGTCTCAAAGAGTCAGACACGACTGAACACGCAACACGCAGAGTGCCTGGTATGCAGTAATGCTCAATAAAAGTTTATTGTCTTTCCTTTTTCATTCCCTTGGACAAATGATACGAATTTGGACTATAAAAACCACAAGAACTACCAAAACGGTAGCATCAAATCCATACATGGTCAATTTCACTTATTTTTATACAATAACCTCTATTCTGAATGCTCACCACTATACAGAGCAATCCCTTCCTCTCATCACAATCAAACTTCCTGTAACACATATATGAAATTAATCTTCAAAGAACAGAGATTTTATAAACTTGGGGCCTTGTTCAAAAACTTTCCAGTGACTATTTATCTTGGCAAGATTTTAATAAAACTTTTGGCTCCCTAACAGTTTTGGGGTTTTTTTTAAAGTTTTTTCTGCGTTGGTTTATCTATTTATTTGGCTGCACTGGGTCTTCCTTGCTGCGCACAGGCTTTTTCTAGTTGTGGCAATCAGGGCTACTCTCTAATTGCAGTGCTCTGTCTTCTCATCATGATGGCCTCTCTTGGTTCAGAGCATAGCTCAAGGGTGCTCAGGCTTAGTTGCCCTGAGGCATGTGGAATCTTCCCAGATCAGGGATCGAACTCATTTCCCCTGCATTGGCAGGATTCCTAACCACTGGACTACCATGGAACTCCCTCCCTAACAGTTTGCATGAAGAAGGGAAATATAAAGATGAGCATGAGTTTTTCCCCCTCCTGCCATTCATTGTGCCTAAAATACCTTTTCCTTCCTATCTTTATCAGTCTCCATGGAGCCACCCCAGACCGTTCTCCACTACTTTCTTCTGACCTCACTGGCTGCCAACATCACATTTACCAGTGTAAATCCTGCTTTATTTTTTTTAACTTTGTGTTATTAATATTTATTTCATAAGTTCACTTTTCATTCTGTCCCAAGCTGAACAAGCTCTTTGACATCAGAAGCCACATGTTAGAGCTGAGCAGAACGGTTTGCATACAGTTGATATTTACATATTTGTTGGCTGACTAGAATACATAAAGCATCATGACAGAAAAAAATTTTAAAGTCCTACTTCATCATGAATAGCCGTTAGCACAATCTGACTGACTTCTTTCAACATTAAAACAGAAGGCATTTCTGAAAACTCAAATGCAGGATGAATTAAATTACTGGCATAACTTCTTCCACTGTAGAAGTTAGTTTCATTGTGAAAATCATTTTGAATAGCAAGAGAACTGTTACAAATAAACATCTCAGAATTTAAGCAGATACTTATTACAACCAGCTATATTAATATATACTATATATACTTAGTCAACAACTTACTTAACAAATGATTCACCAAGTCCCTAATTTGTACTACAAAGAATCACACTAGCTAAGATCCAATGGGAGAGATGGATAAAAGACTGGCTGGTTCCTTAGCAAACACTTTAATGGAGGAGACAGACTTGAAAACTTTTCACAAAACAGGTTAAAAAAGCCGTATGATATAACTAACCTACCGAGTATTGTGTGTGATAAATTTTAATTGGGAGGCCTCAGGAACCACTTGTCCAAGAAAAAAGGAAAAAAATAAAGAGAGAAAAGACGACATTTGAACAAGACCTTGAGAGATAACTGGGACTGTAGACCAAGATGGCGGAAGGAGGTCTGGGCTACATGATCAGAAAGAACAAAAGCTATGGACATGAAAATAAACCACCTTCAGTTTTGCTTCTCTCAGTAGGTGATCTAACTTGCTACTTCAAGAGAAAAATAAAAGGTCATTCCTCTCTTATATCCCAAAACGGCCTCGTCTTTCCCTACCTTAAAAATTAAAAGTCTCCCCACTCTTCCCCAAACCTAAATTCTCCAAATTGTTCTGGACCCTCTAGGTGCTCATCTACTATCACATCTTGTTGTAGCACTCACCCTCTCTCTTACCCTCTCCTTTTGTGGCCAGACTTTTGAAAGAACTGTCTCTATTTGTGTTACCGCTACTTCATTTTCTTTAATTGTGTTTGCTTATTTTTGGCTGTGCTCCGTCTTTGTCGCTGCTCAGGCTCTTCTCCAGCTGCGCTGAGTGGGAGCTGCTCTCTAGACGGGGGTGCAGGCTTCTCACCGAGGCGGCTTCTCTTGCTGCGGGGCACAGGCTCCAGGGCTTTCGGGCTTCAGTAGTCGCGCTCCCTGCCTCCAGAGCACTGGCTCAATAGTTGTGGCTCAGAGGCGTAGCTGCCCCGCAGCATGTGGGATTTTCCTGGCTCAGGGAGCAAATCTGTGTCTCCCCCTATATTAGCAGGCAGATTCTTTACCACTGAGCCACTAGGGAAGGCCTCTATTTCATTTTTAATACACTGCTCAGTTACACAAGGTTAACTGCCTCTTCAATCTCTTTTATGCAGCAAAATAAAGTGAAATAAGGATTTACTTTCTGTGTGTTAAAGCAAGTGAACCAATTGTATTTCTTCTAAAATATATTTGGTATATTTAGGAAACAGAAAATTTACGGTCTCTGAAAAGAATTTCTCATGTCCAGCAAGTAAATTATTCAATAGGTGAGATTCTATAAGCATTTTTAGTGAAGAACCACATATTGTAGTGATCAATGAAAATTCTGAATGTTAAACACCTTGTTCTCTCACTATATTGTTCCCTAATGCAGAGCTCTTTACAATTCTTCAGATGAAAACAGGTAGGGTATATAATTCATCCTCTTCAGCAATATACAAGAGAGAATTTTAAGGAAATTATTTCATTCAAGCCGGAGTCTTAATCTTTTTTAGAAGATCAAGTAAGATAAGATTTGGTATCTTGACACCAAGCTGACACACCTAGAGAACCATTTTAGTCCAGTTCCTCACTATGATCCAGTTTTCTGGCAATTTCATTTACTAAAGGAATAATGATACAACAAATAGCCAGAACGCTCCAGAACTTACTTTGCTCACCTGTCTTGCCTTCAAGGCCAAATTTATCAGCACCCATTAATCCCCAATACTGATTTCACAAAATGCAAAGAATCGCTTATATGCTATACACACAGAGAAGGTTTTTCACAGATACTGTCACACATACTATTGCATGAACTACTGGCAATAAATGGATCTCAGCTCATTTTTTGAGATTGTCTTTTGTGATGAAACTTCAGCTCACTGAACAATCCAATTATCTCTCCTTGCCTTTTAAAAGTAAATTTATACTGCACACACCACACTTGTTAAAAATGGCTCTCCTTAAAAAAAGACGACAATCTGTATCATGACCTTCAATTCCATCCTAAGAAACAGGGTTTACAGATCTCCCAAATGCATTAGATCTTACAGGACTTCTGTAAATATTTGTCAAAGGACTGACTGTTATGTGTAACACTATTGTTAAAATATTGTTAAAATATCCATAAAGATCACCCAACAAGTGTTTTCACTATAGATCAAATAGCAAATGTCAGGCTCTCGTCTTCAGACTCCAAAGCGGGACTGGGTCAAGACTAGAAAGGAAGACCCACATTCCATGTACCTAAATATATTAAAAGTTGTAAGTCAAGTTAAACTATTAGACATGGTCTCTTCCTCCAATCTAGACAAATATACCTTCAACCACCTGGAGGCACAGGTATAAAGTCAGAACTTTTAGACCTTCTGAAGTTCCCCGTGACAGTGTGCGACAGGAGAGGGCCAGCCCACGCCCCTTTCCACTCCCAGTTCAACGACACCTTGAGGGGCCTTGCCCACCCATGCGGACCTCCTACCACCTCAAACCACTGCCCCTGGACCATCCTTCAGGCGAAGGGCACAGTTATTAGTTTTATCCTCCTCAGGACAGATCCAGGGAAAAGGACCATGGAGGCCCCGGAAGCCTTAAGCTCTATGGAGGCAGGAAATTTCCAGAATCAAGTACCCAGAGCATGGGGGTGGGTGGAGAGAGGGCCGAGGCTGGACACAACCTCTGGCCCCTCAGATCCTTCATCCTGTGGGGAGGCGGGCCAGAGAGGGGTCCTCTAGTTCCCAGGTCCCAAAGCAGGGCCTCTCTTGCCCATGGGTAAAAACAATACTGGAGAATTTACCAGATCAGCCATTTCACCAGTTAATATACTAATTGTAAATAAATATGTAAAAAGAGGATTAAGTCGTAAAACCTGAAATTCTAATCTCTGATCACTTCAGTTCCCTCAAGATCTATAACCAAAGGGTCTAACATTTATCTGGATCAACTCAACAGACTAAATCTAGCTTCTGTGCTTTCTTACCAAATTTATACAAACAAACAGAATTCTATCCACATGTTAGAGGGCTGTAAGAAGACCCCAAAAGAAAGAAGGAGGTCAACATCCAGTACCAAAGTCAAGATCAGACTCGCAGGTCTAGGAGAGCATTTTCCTCATGTTCTGTCACTTATGTGGGGCCACATATGGCGCCATGCTCAACCATCTCATCAAAGCTGCCAGTATCACAGCTTGCTCTTGCCAACCCCCAGAACCAGAATCCCATGACCTTGTAATGCCCCTATCCTAACCACCGTGAAGGTGAACATGTATATCAAGCTGGATCTCATTGGCATTTGATACTGATGATATCTCTCCTTGAACCTTAACAGTATTTGCTGCACTGCAATTTCCACTTAACTTAGCAAGAAAATTAATTTGCTAATTTGAAAAAGAAAAAACACTAATAAATAATTTTCATCACAATACACATATAAATACTCCACAGGAGGGGAAGTATTTCAACTGGAAATCTTATTTATGGGTACTTACTGAGATTGTACCATTGTCTAGACCTATGGACAGTCTTCTTGTTTCCGGGTTAAAAGACATGCATGAACATGGAGCTGAAAGAAATGAACATGTTGATGAAATTAACAAAACGATGATGCTCGTGGATTCAGGGGTGACTAACTAGCTCAAAGTGTGTGGTTACTTTTTTTCCCCCACTATTTCCTGACAAACAGTTCATGGAACTTCCGCTCACAAAAAATAAAATCAGTAATTTTACAACCAACCCCGAGTTTTTCAGTTATCCTTTTAATGACTATAACAAGTAAGATACTCAAACTGGACAGGTTCCAAGGGGCGTGGTCTTGGCTGTTCTGTCAATACCAGTCTAAATTTGCTCGAGTAGATTAACAACATTGTGCTGTTGTAAGCCTTCTGACACCAATCTCTCTCTTCCATGAAAACCCCATCTTTAATGGAAATAATCCATTTTTTCTGAACTAAGGACACAAAAGAAAGATCTTATTCCCGCCCCCCTCCTTGCCCTGCACACAAAAGAACAGAAATCTATTTTTTTTTAATTCAGAACTGATTTGTGGCATGTGGACTAACAGAAGTCTTTTACTGTCAGTATTCAAAGCAGATGTAGGAGGCTGCCAATGGGAAAAAGGCTTGGAGGCTTTGTCTCAATCTAAAAGAAAACCAGCTCAACACAGGGCCAGGCTCCAGAGAAAAGAAGTCAGGTGAGTCAGTTCACCCAGACCTGGACAGGGCCTCCCTACTGTGCAGGACTGACCCCCTTGCTACCCCGCCTGAGTGAAGGGAGCAGGCTTGGGAACCCCAAATTGCCAGGTCAGTTTCCAGTTCCCAGCTCTTTCTCTATGCTTATTGGTAAGAATGGGGGCCTTTTGACAACTTTATTTCATACCGAAACGGTGTTCTACAAAGCTCAACATAACTTATACTAATTTTTCTTTTCTTTTCTTTATTTATTTTGCCTATACCACATGGCATATGGGATCTCAGTACTCCAATCAGGGACCAAACCCACTTCCCCTCCACTAGAAGCTAAGAGTCTTAACCACTGGACTGCCATAGAAGTCTTCAACATAGTAGCCCTACAGGTCATGAACTACCCATCATCAAAATCATAATCAGCATCAAATATTTTTATTCATATTTTTAAGTTATAATTAGATGTCTTAACAAAGGTCACACAGGGTAAGAAAAAAAGCTGAAGGAGGCTCAAAGACAGATTTCAAACACCTTTAAACTATATATATAAAAACACACACACACACACTTCAAGTGCTGCTCTAACAGAACCACTTCATAAACACTTAGTAACATCTTTTTGATTCTCTATACAAGGGCCATGACCAACAACAAAAAAATCCTCTGAACTGCTAAAACTAGTTACTTTTTTCTAATTTTGAGACATGATATAGTTAATAAATAGAAATATATACCCCACCACCAAACTTTCACCAATGTAGCAGAATATCTTCTTTTTATTTAGCCACAAATTTAAGCTAGATTCCCAAAAGAACACTGATGGGAAAAAAGCAATCAAACAGTATTTAATGTACTGCCCTAAGAAAGCCAGTCTTACTCATCTTTGGCCTATAAACTCTGTTGGCAAAATCTCTACACACATGCTAAGATGCCAGGTCTCATAATCCCATAACATGTGTGCAAGATTAAAATTTAATGATTCCATGGAAAACTATCATGTTAGCTGAAAAAAGCAAAAGAAAAAATTATACTGATTATAGTACTACATAAAGGACACATACATAAAAATATGTATGGAAAAACTCAAAGCAGTTCTTATGTTTGAGTGACATGAGTATTTCTATAACATGGTCTTTACTTATTATTTTGCTATTCTTATTAAAAATTTTAAATATCTAACAATTTATTATGATATAAGTAATTGTATATGAAGCAAAATTGGACTGCAGTCCAAGTGGCTACACATAATAAAGAAAAATCTCATCACTCAGCTGCCTCCCTGACCATATAAAAGTATTTCCTATGTGATTTACTGGAAAGCTCCTATCTGGTTATGTAATAATTAGAAAACCCACTGATCTCTGAATGCGATTTAAAATACTTTTTTTCACAATACTGCACAAGCTACCCTTAAATCAACACTGTTATTTCGTTATTCCTTATTTTACCCTCATTTACTAAATTTTTTGTCATTCTTCAACAAAAATTTAGAATGCTTACTATGTTCAAGACATTTGATGCAATGATATATAAGATATTATAGCTGTCATCACGGAATTGATAGATGACGACACCAACTATATATAGGAGCCATAATACAAAACTTGTCCCCAATGTCACCTCCTTGGTTCACATCACTTTATACTGATAGTAAGAAATGCCTTCAGACTGCAAAAGGAAAAAAAACCTTTCCTAAATAAGTAAAAGAAGCTTTAACAGAAGTTCTGTTGTTGCAGAACCCATATGAGAGAACTCATGTGGCTATAGACAGGGGATTGACAGAGACTGAGATTACCTCCCAGGTGCCCCCAAAAGTGTAAACATTCTTTCAAAGAGGCATTATGGTAAAACACACACCAAAAAAACCTACAAAAAACCTTGTGTGTGTGTGTGTGAAGACTTTCAGTAGGTAAGTCTTATGATGCTTTTCAAACCACTGCCTGACTATAACATTCTCGTAGGAAGAGGCCCTGGGTTGCTTACCCATAGGCGACACAGGGCCAAGGAGGAAAGAAATGAGTTGAAAGAAATATTGGGACTTCCCTGGTGGTCCAGTGATTCAGAATCTGACTTCCAACGCAGGGTCCATTCCTGATTGAAAAACTAGGCTCCTACATGCCACAGGGCAACTAAGCCCGTTCCCCACAACAAGAGAAGCCCAGAAGAGGCAACCAAGACCCAGAGCAACCAAAATTTTAAAAATAAATAAAAATAAAAACCACCTTGCTTAAAAAACAAAAAGAAATATCGATGCCCACATCTGCTGTTATAGTAAGTGTCTTTTCCTTTGGGGGTTGAGGGAGTAGATAAATTGACACAGAGATCCTTCTAACTTCAACTCACCAGAAATTAACTGAAAAAGCAACCTCTGAAAGACTAGTGCTATAGTCCATACAGTAAGCCCCTATTCATCCATGCAAAAAAAATCAAAGGGCAAAACTGTCTGGGGAAGCATAATAAGATACAGTAAAGTCATAATTATGACCACATGGTTGAGGGAATCCTGCAGAAGGAAGAATAAGGGAAGAAACAAACAAAATATGATTTAGACACAATATTTGCAGCCAGGTTGCAAAAACATATTTCACAAAGAATTCAGCTGTAGCAACTAATAATTCGCTAGCCAATGAAGAAATAATTGGGTCTTTCTGACAGCTGAAAGTTCAGGTCAGAGTTGAACTTGACTGAGAGACTGTTCTATTCACCCACCTTAAACACGTGTTCTCCAGTAGCCAAGCAAAGTGGCTGGCTGAAATACACTTTATCTAGAAATAAGGGAAGGAGCTTCCGCGGGCTCAGTGGTAAAGAATCCACCTGCTAATGCAAGAGACGCAGGTTGGATCCCTGATCCAGGAAGGTCTCACATGCCAATGTCAACAAGCCCAAGGGCCACAACTATGGCGCCTGTGCCCCAGACCCCAGGAGCAGTAACTACTGGGCCCACACGCCACAACTACTGAAGCCGGGGCGACCTAGAGCCCGCGCTCTGCAGCAAGGGAACCCCTGCAATGGGAAGTCCGAGTACCACAACCGGAGAGCAGCCCCCACTCACCAAAACCAGAGAAAAGCCTGAGCAGCAGTGAAAACCCAGCACAGCCAAAAAGAAATTAAATTATTAACTTTTTTTTTTTAATGAAGAAACAAGAGAAGTCTCATTTTCCAAGTTGTCTGATCAAGACTGGTCATCTCCCTGCTCAGTCTCGGACTGACGACACTCAAAAGAAGGATATTTGGCAAAATTTTAGGAAGCAAGACCATGAAAAGTACAAATATGATAGGAAAGAAATTTGTAGAGGTCTGTGGGTAATGGGAAATAATACTATCTCATATTAGTGTCAGGACTTTAGTCCTTGGTGGCCTGTCAAAATCTTATCTTTAAATACTTGTAATACTGAGCGATTTTTAAAAATGAAATCTGGTAGTTTAAGGCAGGGGTTCAGCTTAAAGTTTAGGGAGAATGAAAAGAGAACCCCTAGTCTGGGTGATTATGACCATATAATTTGAAGGCGGAAAAGCTCAGGATATGAGCCTGTATGGTGCTAGTGGTAAAGAATCCGCCTCTCAATGCGGGAGATGCAAAAGATGCGGGTTAGATCCCTGGGTCAGGAAGATCCCCTGGAGAAGGAAATGGCAACCCACTCCATCATTCTTCCCTGGAAAATCCCACGAACAGAGATTTTCCATGGGTAAAATACTGACTGATAAGCCTGGTGGGCTACAGTCCCATGGAGGTCACAAAGAGTCGGACATGACTGAACAGCTGACCATGCATCAGCCCTAAGCAAAGGGGACACAAGAAACCAACATCAACTTCAAGGAAGCAATAATTAAGTGGATTAGAGAGAAACTGGCTAGTTGGATTTCTAACATCTTTATCCCATGGATGATCTAAGAAGAAATATTGCTCTTGCTTTCTAAAAAAAAGTAAGTTGAGAGGAGGCATTCTCAAAATACTTCTATTTGGGGGAAAGTTTACCCATTTCTATTATTTAAACCTATAATTCTTTCATTTTATGACTAATTTATTTCCTGTCCTTTGCTGATCATTTGAACTTTACTCAAATAAACACAAGTTCCAATGAAGGTTGAACTGTGGATTTCAATCACTCTGACAGCTTTACTATGCTAAAGGCATTATTTGGCAGGAGACACTAATCTTCATGGGATGTGCTGGTGAGAACTTTAAATACGCAACAGTGCTCTGTGAATAAAACTTCAGGTATTTAAAGGCATCCTGGTGAAGTTAAATGTCAGGATCCTTTGGCAGAAACCAAAACAATACTGTAAAGCAATTATTCTTCAATAAAAAATAAATTAAAAAACAAACAAACAAAATGTCAGGATTCTATGGTAAGAGGGCTTAACTAGAGAGGCATATAAA